GCGGACGAGGGGAGGGGAGGGGCGGGGCGGGGCGGGGCCGTCTTCATTGAAGAAGGCGAGCCACGAGCAAAGCAGAGCGAGACATGAACTCTCGTAGTAAGAGTGGTTTGTCTCAGCAGCGCAGCCTCAGCGTGGGCATGGCCCAGGCGAGAGGTGCATTCAAATACAAAGCTGTCAGCGATATTGAATCATTGGTGACAGCGTTCTGCTCCAAACCGCCCAGGAGGATTGAGCCGCTCGACAATGAGGGGCGCCGATCCTGACGTGTTAACAAACTGGCAGATCAAAGATCTGCGTGGAGAGTGATGCATGCAGGGGCTTTGATTGCATTAAATCACTCAAGCCTGATCGTTCATACTCGCGAGCATAGTGACACACACACAATTCGAAGCTGCCAGTGGCAGCATCTGCTCCGATCTACTTAGGAGGATAGAGCCACTCGATGTAAAGAGGGACGCTGATCCTTACATGTGAGACACGGATCAAAGTACACAGGCTCTGTGTCGGCGTGAGATCGCTCAGACCCGGTTGCTTAGCTCCCAGGCTTCGCAGTTTCTCTCTCCGAGGCTTGCTGAGAGAGGAGAAACGGGGGAGCGGGGCTGCCTTCAGTGAAAGGCGGTCCGCGAGTGGAGAAGAGTGAGACTCATGCTCTGAGTGAGCATTCTGTTTCAGTAAGCGCGAAGCTCACTGCCCTTCTGCGGCGGATCCGAGTGCAACGGGGAGAGAGAGCACGCAGGCACAGTGCCGGCACAGGGCTTACCTGCTAGAAATAAGCTCTTTTTGAATCGCCGGATGGCGGCAGGGGAACAGGACCGGAACTGCTGCGACGCTGAGGTGCGAAGAGAGCCGGTCAGCCGAGCAGGGAGGTCTCAGTCCAGCTGTGAGGCGTGTCAACGGCGAGCAGGCTTTCAGGATCAGCGATGAGTGTAGAGTCGTCGCTGAAAGAGAAAAAATCGGAGAATCCTGTGGCGAGCGCCCGCTTATAAAGCCAGATGCCCCGCCCATTCTGGGGGGCTTTGGCAGGCTTTGGTGCCGAGCCATTGGTTCGTTTTTAATACACTGCACGAACCAATGTTTTTTTTTTTTTTGGTTTTATTTGTAGTACAACCATAGTAAATTTTCGTAAGGGTAGTAATATTAGCAATATATTTCTGAAAATAAGTGGGTAACAAATGTGACGGTGTCATTTAATTGCTTGTTGTGTATGATAGTAATGATTCACAGACTTAACTTTCACAGATAATTTCCATTTTTATAAGATCATGACGTATCTCAGTATTTGCATTGGCCCTCATAAATAGCTGTTGGTGGATGGGTGGTGAAGATGATGATGGCGAGCGGTGTGGGCAGGTTGTGTTTTGCTCAAAAGACTGTTCTGGCCCCTATGGTGTGGGTGGGCTCTCTGCCCATGAGGCTGCTGGCTCTGGACTACGGAGCAGATATTGTGTACTGTGAGGTGAGGATGAACATTTACACCAGTGCATGGCACGTTTCACACCATCTGAAGCTAATGCACTTGCTTTGAAATCTGCTAAATGTGCACATGGTCTCATGGCCCTTGTGTATTTCAGGAGCTGATTGACATCAAAATGGCCCAGTGTGAGAGAGTGGTAAACAGTACATTATTTTGTATTATACAGTATGTCACTCAGGCACATTTAACATGTTTTAGCTGCTCTAAGTGATGAGAAATCAGACCAACTTATGTATTAACCCTATAAAGCTCACTGTATCATTTTTGATAGGTGCATTTCTAAGGCCTCTAAATGATCAACATGATGAAATATTGGTGAAAAACCTCTTGTACACAATCTACTACATGCCTTCTGTCATCTGGTTGATATAGTTTATACTCTTTTAGTGTGAATGTACCAATGTCCACCTTCAGCTTGTGCTTCACATGTCTTTTTGCTGTGGGTTTTTTTTTTTTAAGTAAACACAAATAAATGTTTAATTGTTAATAATATCTCAAAAATAAATGATTATTGCACTGAAGCAGCTCAGCTTTACTTGAGTATCCTTTTATTTTTTTTTCTGTTCAAATATGAGTATCAAATATGATCATCAGGCTTTTGAGCAGTGTTTATTTGTTCATCTCTCAATCATCATTGTACAGTATCTGCTGTGCTGTTATAAAGATCCCATTGATTTCTCACTGATCACAAGCCACCAGAAGTTCATCTTACCATATGATGGTAAGATGCAGGCTTTACGAGGTTACTAAACCTTCTTATGTGTCTTCAGATGTTTTGGAGACGGTTGATTTTGTTGCAGATGAGTGTGTGATGTTTCGTACATGCAGTAAAGAGAAGGGCCGTGTGGTCTTTCAGATGGTCAGTATGTGAACTTCTTCACTTTTATTTATTCAAAGCATGTCTCAGATTGGGCATGTTATGGTTTATATCTGTGTGATGAGTTATGTGCTAAAGTTGAATGCATTTGAGCATTTCAGATTGAGTGTATACTATGTTATCAGCTGAATTTATATAATATAAAAAAAAATAATCGTTTGAGTTGTGTTATTAATTTTAACCCTAGCAACCACATAGCAACACCCTAGCAACCACCCCAATTACACTAGCAACCACCCTGGGTACCCTAGCAACAGCCCTAGTAACCATCCTAGGTACCTTAGCAACCGCCCTAGCAACCACCCCTAGTACTCTAGCAACTGCATAGGAACAACCTAGCAACCACCGAAAGTACCTTCGCAACCACCCCGAGTACCCTAGCAACCGCATATCAACACCCTAGCAACCACCCAAGTACCCTAGCAACCGCATAGTAACATCCTAGCAACCACCCCGATTACCCTAGCAATCACCCTGGGTACCCTAGCAATGCCCTAGCAACCACCCCAAGTACCCTAGCAACCGCATAGCAACACCCTAGCAACCACCCCAAGTACCCTAGCAACCACATTGCAACACCCTAGCAACCACCCCGATTATCCTAGCAAACACCCTGGGTACCCTAGCAACGGCCCTAGCAACCATCCTAGGTACCCTAGCAACCACCATAAATACCCTATCAACCTCATAGCCACACCCTAGCAACCACCCATGTTACCATAGCAACCGCATAGCAACCACTTAGAACACATTTACATTTAGTCATTTAGCAGACGCTTTTATCCAAAGCGACTTACAAATGAGGACAATAAAAGCAGTCAAAACTAACAAAAGAGCAACAATATATATAAGTGCAGTAGATAGAATAGAAAAAATAGAAAACTAGTGTTTTTAAAAAAAAAAATTAAAACAAAGAAGATAAATATAGATAAAGTATAATTAAAATAGAATAGAAAGTGCTAGAGTTAGAGGGTCAAATAAAGGAACACCTTAGCAACCACCCAGAATACCCTAACAACCGCCTAGCAATGCCCTAGCAACCACTCAGATTACCTCAGCAACTGCCTAGCAACGCCCAAGCAACCACACAGAATACCCTAGCAACTCCTTAGCAGCCACCTAGAACACACCCTAGCAACCGAGTGCCGAGTTTTGCCACAGCAAGCACCACTCACATTTTCTTCAGAAAATGTACATATCTAGTTTTAAAATACAATCTGATTTTGTGCTTGTGTTTCAGGGAACGGCCGATCTGGAGAGAGCGCTGGCTGTGGCTAAACTTGTGTGAGTTGGATGTTTTTATTTGTGTTAGTAATATCATATATTCATGTGACCTGGCTTACTTTTAGTTGGGGTTTAAAAGACAATTAATATTCAGTAATAGTATGGATTTAACTGCACTGACATTATAAAGAGAGAACTAAATTTGAACTAAATTGGGCTGAGTAATGACACAAAATTAGCTGCATTGACATTGTTAGTGAACTGAATTATGGCACTATTATCTTCTGTAGAGCTGCTTTACAACTAAATCGAATGTTTCATAATTGATTAATTTCACGACATTACTACATTACTGGTAATACTGTTAATTTTCCGTTTTTTGTTGTTTTACTGTCATACTGCATTGAAGCAACTTGTATGGCATAAATTGCTATGTGACTTGACTTGAAATTAGACCAAGTATTAGATATTAGATATCAAAAATGAGCTCTAAATGAATGCACATTGAAACTTGAACAGGGAAAATGATGTGGCGGCTGTGGATGTGAATATGGGCTGTCCCGAAGAATACTCTACAAAGGTACAGGTTTGGGTCTGTGCCAAGCATATACATAAGAGACCACGCGGACAATCTGGCATTTATAATCATATTTTTTAGAAATAAACAAAAGCTTTTGAGTTTGAAAAAGAGTAAGATGCTGGGTACCATCCATCAACACAGTGGAGATGCACTACAAAGACATTCCAGCATTCACCTTAAGCTTTACATTTCACTTCTCACTCCAATTAATTTGTAATAAAAAATAAATTTAAAAAAAGTACAAAATTAGAAAGAAAAAATATAGAAACATCTGCGTTTGTAACGGAGCCGACGAGACGCGAGACGTGCGGATCCATTTGCAAAGCTTTAATAGAAGACAGAGACGGTTAGTGTTGCAGTAATGTAGGAATATAAAGTACATATTATTATTATTATTATTATATTTCTGCTGCTGTTATTTATACATTTTCCATTCATTTCACATAGGGAGGAATGGGTTCGGCGCTTCTCTCTGACCCCGAGAAAATTGAAGCTGTAAGTTTTCTTAGTTTTTTTTTTTTTAAACATATCAGTTGTATTAGTTTAAAATATTTTTCACTTCTATTTCTTAACCATTTGTCTTTTGTAGATACTAAGCACTCTTGTGAATGCCATTTCAAAACCTGTTACATGTAAAATCAGAATCCTTCCTACAGTAAGTGACATTTTTTCCTGGTATGTATTTTTCCAAGCAGTTCATTGCTTTTTTTTTTGTTTGTTTTTTTGAGGAAAGCATACTCAAACATTAAGAGTTAATAAATCCTGATATGAATCGCGTTCTTTACTGTTCCTAGTAATGAATGTATAGTTCACCTAATGTGCTCTCTCGGCTGGAGGACACAGTGAATTTAGTGAAGAGAATTTAAAAAAACAGGAGTGGCGGCCATAGCAGTGCACGGCAGGTGAGACGCTTTCTTCAAAAGTCTGGTTATAGATAGAGTTGTGGACTCGAGTCACATGACTCAAGACTCGGACTTGTCCCAAATTTGAGGACTTGTGACTCGACTCGACATAATCAAAGAAGACTTAGACTTTGAGAACAATGACTCGAGACTTGACTTGGACGTGAGGCCTGTGACTCGGAAAAAACCATCATGCCAATAAAGCTATGTTTATTTCTGTAGACCTGCGTCAGTAGGTGGCGATAAATGAGCACCTCAAGTTATTAAATATTGACTCACTTGATTCATTAAAATCACAAATGAAACATTCATTCACTAAGGCCTATATTTGTTCACAAACAATGATCCATTCCTCAATGAAACACCACTAATTATTACATCTTTATAATTATACTTACTATAGACAATTAATGACTTTAAATGTATTGTAGTAATTCATACAGAGACCATAATTTGGGCAGACAGCACTAATTACTTGTTTAGGATTTGAAGCTTGCAGCTCGACTTGTCTTGACTGGAGACTTGAATGCAATGACTTGCTATTTTAGAACATCTTTATATTGTGTTGTTTTCGTTGTGAGGATGAAAGAAGAGCGTCCGCGGCATCCAGTCCACTGTGATTATATCCAGGCCGTGGCGGCGAGTGTGTCCATACCTGTCATCGCCAAGTCAGTCTTCATTACATTCATGCCACAGTCCCTCTACGTATTTGTGAAATAGAAACTGAATCGGCAACCTTTTCGAATCTGTTAATCAATTTCTGCGGTTCTTTAAACGCAGTTTGTTCACTTCTCAGGAACAGCGAACTCAAGATCGAGCTTTCCAGTTTGCGGTTATCGTGGACGATAAGAAGTACCGCTCTACTCTGTGGTGAGTTTGGTTTGTGATACACTTACACACTGCAGTAATGCAGAGGGGACGACTGCACGACTCTTCTGTCTCTGCTTTGCTCTCCTCAGGGAGAAACCAAAGAAGTTGGCAGAGCAGGCCGCGGCTACAGTGTGTTTGCGCACTCTCGGGCTTCCAGGGGGCCGAATCGGAGAGGAGCACAGCGTAAACGCTAGAGGGACGACAGAAAGTGTGCAGCATTAGATGCCAATGAGTCAGCAGCGCGAAAGAGACATATAAGTGAAGTCCCACAGGAAGAGGAAGAGGAAATGATATGCAGGACGAAAGTTGTGAATGGTGTCTGTGGTCAGACCACACGTTAACATTGGCCAGACACCATCTGAACTCACTCTTAAACACATTCATTCCCTTTCATTAAAGTGCAGAGTGCAGTTTTATCTGACAAATAACGGTGCACTTTGTATTTGCTTTTAAGTTTGTTAAATTCAGTCTTCCAAGTGCCATCTCTGTCTTATTGCACACTAGTGCTGGTTTGTTATTTGCTTTCTGCCACAATTTTTGCCTGGAGGAATAATGAGATTTTTATTAAACACACTTTTAAAGTTATTTCGACAGATTTCCACCCTTCACCAGAAGGATGCAGTGTATCTCCAAGTACTTACAGTACAAGGAAGTACCATAACATGTCATAAAACTTTATTTATTTGAAGTATTTTTTTTTTGTTTTGTTTTCAGCATTATTGTGAAATAAACCATTTAACTATGCATTTTATTTCTTTTTGTCCCCCAATGTACTGTACAGTGACTCACAAATGTCGAAACCTTGTAAGCTGCATAACTAGACCGCATTTTGGGCATTATAATACACATATGATGTGTCAAAAAAAATAAATAAATATATATATATATATGTGTGTGTGTGTGTGTGTGTTTGTGCAGGCAGCCCTTTGTTTAAAAAAAAACAAATGGTAAGTTTAAGCCAAAACCGCGTTCTATAGTAACTGTATTGTAACTACAGTGATGATAATAATAATAATAATAACATTGGTTACACTTTATTTTAAGGTGCCCTTGTTACAGTGTAATTATACATTTAAGTACTGAGTAATAATAATTAATTACCTACTATATGGTTAGAGTTAGGATCAGGGTTTGGCTTTGGGTTACTTGCATGCAATTATGCATAATTTATTGTTATTACAATAGTAAGTACATGTAACGTGTAACAAGGACACCTTAAAATAAAGTGTTACCGAATACGTTCTAGACGTTTCCGTCTAGTTAGTCCCCAGTCTAAAACGGGACAAACAGAAAATGTCGTCTACTCTAACAAAGTATGCTTTGTTGTTTTGATGAGACTTACACCGTCGTGAATGAGATACCATTATTAGCTGTTTATTTTGCAGTATTAACATGAACTGTAATGGCAGTTATTTAAGCGGAAACTGTGGTTTGGTTTGTGTGTGTGTGTGGGTGTGTAAAGGCACTTCATATGTTTTGAGCCACAACCATATTCTGACCTTGCAAACTAATAAATGTGTATTAACCGATATAATCTGCGCGCATTCATATGGATTGTTTATAACCTGCTCTCGTCGTCCCGCACACATTGGTGTTTGCGCGCGCGCTCTGCGAGTGTTTGCGGTGTGTCAGATGTCGTGACGTCACGTCGGCAGTCGCAGTGTAACATGTAACTTTACTATTAGCCGTCTACATGTGCGCGAGACTCCAGATCAGCAGCAAAACCAGCATGGGGTTATTAAACACGGCGGGAAGTCAACGAAGTCCGAGAAGAAACGCCATCAAAGAGTCGATCTAACCAACTTCTGAGGGGAAAAAAAGACATTTTGGACCGTGTGTTCCGGGTTTTGACACCATCTCTGTTTTGTCAACCAAAGTGACGCTCGCAGAAAGTTGTAGTGTTATAGTTGCGTTTGCGCACGCATGGACTTGTTTGTTTTTGTCATTTAATAGAAGAAAGTAGAGCTCCAGGTCTCTAATGCAATGACCACTAACTACAGAGAGGAGCTGGACTTCAGACTGATGTTTGGGGAGAGCAGTTATCCGTCTTCGCCGGGCCACGCAGGTTTGTACGATACTTTCACTTTACGCGACGCGACGCGACGGTCATAATCAATGAAGCGCGTGCAAGCGTGCGCGGTTAACATGGGAGCGTGTCTCTTTGCGTCAAGAATGTGTTACAGAAGTGGCCATGTTTGGATCTGTTTGTTATGAATACATGAAACCGCGTGTTTCTAAATACTGAAAAGTCACTTCCTTATCTTTCCGCATCAAATGTAGAAGTTCGTGTAGTTGACGCGCATAAAGAGGAAGGTCAAAGACTAATCACGCGAAACATCTTTCACAAACACGCATGCCTGCGTGTATTTACTGTATGTGTGAGAATAATTTCGCTGTTTTCGTGTCAAATTTCGTGTATACAGTACGTAGAACTAAAACTGCTACGATTGACTTTGTATAGGCCTATATTTGTTATTGTTATTGGCACTGTAAGCTGTACTTACTGTACTTTGTAACTTTGTTACTGTACTTCCCTACTGTAGGCTGCTGTTATAATTAATGCAAGTTACTCTGTCCACTGTAATCCATCTTTATCTGTAGGTAAACTCAAAGATATGGTTAAACTCACAGTAAATCACCTTTCGAGTTTTTGTTTTATTGCTGGACTGTTGAAGCTTGAGTGCAAAGAGTGTCTATCAGGGCTCTACGCTTATTTTTCTTTTTAGGAGCACTTGTGATTTACAGTGGAAGTTTGTTTTTACCTTTGTAATGGCATTTTTCTAACTTTATTAAAAGAATGTAATCTTTTGTCAAAAAAAAAAAATTTATAAGCTTTTTAAAAATTCTTATTAAAACCACAGAATAAGAACAAGTAGAATAAGAAGAATAAGTTACTAATCAAATGAAATCAGTATTAAAATTAATTTGTACAGAGGTGGCACAG